GAATATAGTGGATGTTTTGTATGTTATATGTGTTGTGGTCTACAGACAGTCTACTATAGTAGTAGTGGAATATAGTGGATGTTTTGTATGTAATATGTGTTGTGGTCTACAGACAGTTTACTATAGTAGTAGTGGAATATAGTGGATGTTTTGTATGTTATATGTGTTGTGGTCTACAGACAGTCTACTATAATAGTAGTGGAATATAGTGGATGTTTTGTATGTTATATGTGTTGTGGTCTACAGACAGTCTACTATAATAGTAGTGGAATATAGTGGATGTTTTGTATGTTATATGTGTTGTGGTTTACAGACAGTCTACTATAGTAGTAGTGGAATATAGTGGATGTTTTGCATGTAATATGTGTTGTGGTCTACAGATAGCCCACTATTTTTTAAGACAAATGTTTAATATTTATTCACTTGTGTAAATGCGATATGAAAGTACAAGTTTGATTGTTCAACTTACAGAAAGTTAATTAGTATTTAACTTAAATATAGCTTTTGTTGCAAATGAAAAAATAAACATGAAATTTAAACATTACACAAATAACCTAAACTGTACACTTTGATGTGATGTATTAATTCAGACTCTCTGTGTTTCAGTAATAATAATTCTATTTGTAACCAGCTTCGCGTGAGGTTTATTGAGCACATGAGTTCGTGATGCCAGCTGAAATGTCAAATTAAAACGTACCAAATGAGAACTAAGTAATACCAGAAGGTGAAAAAAAATCTTTTAATATCACCAGGAATGAGAGATTACGTCAATATTCCTGAAGCATGAAAACAGAGTTCTTAATTGAAACTCCTCTGAAAATTAGTTTTCATGATCGCAAGTAAAATATATTTCAGTTCAGATAAATAACCAGAATTTAATCCTTAAGAAAAATTTCAGTAAATGACCATAAAGTATGCAACGTTTTTTAGTTTTGTCTCGATCAGACTTCGGAGTAAACAATTTAAAGTACGAACGATCCCATTAATTTGGACTACAAAGCCGTGTTCTGTAGCTTTCAATTTGAAGGATCTGCGTTGACCTTATTAGTGTTCGTGGAATAGCGCCTAGTTACTTCAAGGATTTCGTTAATACCTCCAAATGTCATTTTATAGTAGCAAGTAATCACTATAGCCTAATAAGTAACAAAGGTAAAACTAACTACAAAGATCTGTGCTAATCTGGTCATTTGGAGTCAGTCGAAATGATTCCTCGTCTACATAAAGATTTCATTTTTGTTTTAAATAATAAAAACTCCTTGATGTTGACTAATGAGGTCTGTGAAACCTGTACTCTATCGCTGGTCTGTGAAACCTGTACTCTATCGCTGGTCTGTGAAACCTGTACTCTATCGCTGGTCTGTGAAACCTGTACTCTATCGCTGGTCTGTGAAACCTGTACTCTATCGCTGGTCTGTGAAACCTGTACTCTATCGCTGGTCTGTGAAACCTGTACTCTATCGCTGGTCTGTGAAACCTGTACTCTATCGCTGGTCTGTGAAACCTGTACTCTATCGCTGGTCTGTGAAACCTGTACTCTATCGCTGGTCTGTGAAACCTGTACTCTATCGCTGGTCTGTGAAACCTGTACTCTATCGCTGGTCTGTGAAACCTGTACTCTATCGCTTCGATCTTGAACCAAGCCAACCTTTAAGGTCCTAAGATATAATATATATTTGATTTTATATTACAGAAAGAAAGGAAAGATGTGATTTATGTTTCCTTATGGATTTTACTCAAGGATTACCTGCTCTGACCGTTCCAATTCTGTACTGATAGACTAGAGGGAAGGCAACTAATCAATAGTACCCACCGCCAACTCTTTGTCTGCTGTTGTCTAATCGAGCAGTTGGATTTGACTATCACCCTTATAACGCAGTCGCGACCACAAAGTGCAAAACGCGATTTTGTTTTAGCGGTAACAGGGCGCGAAACACGGAACCTTAGATCCAACACTCGGCACGCTAATCATTGGGTCACGCTAGGTTCGATCGACTTGGTTTGGTTGATATTAAGCACAAAACTAATTACGCAATGGGCTATTTGTGCTCTGCCCACCATGGATATCGAAACCCGAATTTTAGCGTCGTAAGCCTGCAGACTTACAGCTTAGCCACTAGGAGGTGAAGGAGAATGATTCCAACATCAGTAAATGATGGCGGATCCACCCAAAAGTTAAAAAAACAGAAAAGATAGAATTGTCGTAATGGTTGATTAAACCAACATTTAGGGACACTTATAATGACTCAAACTATTAAAACTGTTAAATTAAAGATGGCAGTCGTATCGTTCACTAGCTTTGGAAACATGTGTTCTCAAATGTACATTGTTTACCACTCACTCATTGTTCACTCTCAGTACAACGTAAAACTGAATAGCTAAAAAAATACTTACATTTATTTTAACGCAACGACAAACTTCTTTCTCAATTTTCAACCCCCCCCCCTCCCCAATCTCCAAAAAAAATCACTCTTTGCGTTTATTCGTCTAATATCAAATGGTACCGGGCGTGTACAAGCGGTTAGTGTGCCCAATTGTGAATCCAGTGGTTTGTTATTCGCCCCCCACTGTCGAAAACAGACGAGTTTCGTACTTTGGGGCCATGAAGTCCCACTATAAGAGTAGGCGATGGGTGCTGTTGATTGTCTTCCTTCCCTCTAGATTATCATTTCACAATTAAGGAAATCCTAGGTTAGTACTCTTCGGTGGCTTTGCGCGAATTTCCGAAACAACCAACTTTGGAATCCCTTGGTAATTCTCTCCTCTCAATCTCCTAGCCCTAATAGGCCTGGTGATTAGGGCGCTCGACTCGCAATCTAAGGGTCGCTGGCTCGAATCCCAGACACCGAACATGCTTGGGGAGGGGCATTATAATGGGACGATCAATCCCACTCTTCGTTGGTAAAAAGAGTAACCCAGGAGTCGACGGGGATTTTTGTTGAATAACTGCCATCCCTCTAGTCTATCGCTGCTAAATTAGGGACGGCTTAGCGCGGATGGTCCTCGTATAGCTATGCGCGAATTTCCGAAACAAACAACCAATGAATGGAGTCCCTTGGTTATTTATTCCTCTCAATCTCCTAACCCTGATTACGCTACTCCCCTAATCAGGGGCGCAGATTTATGAAAACAGAATTAAACACGATATGCTAACTGTACGAACGTTTGTCAACCTTTTCAACACAAGGGACCGGCTCGCTACCCCCCTAAACTGTCGCGGACCGCCTCGCTGCCTCCCTAAACTGTCGCGGACCGGCTCGCTACCTCCCTAAACTGTACCAGACCGACTCACTGCCTCCCTAAACTGTCACGGACCACTAAAATCATTACGATTTATATTTGAATATTCTGTCAGTTTTTATTTGTTTGTTTTAGTGAAATCTCACTGTCCGGAAAGATGGTTGTGACGGACTGGGGGTTGAGAAACTCTGAACAAGACTACCAAATTTTAACACTGTGTTCCCCGTTACAGACTACCAAATCTTAACACTTTGTTTCCCGTTACAGACTACCAAATCTTAATATTTTACCTCATTACAGACTACCAAATCTTAATATTTTACCCCAAAGATTTGGTAGTCTGTAATGGGAAACAAAGTGTTAAGATTTGGTAGTCTGTAATGGGAACAAAGTGTTAAGATTTGGTAGTCTGTAACGGGAAACAAAGTGTTAAGATTTGGTAGTCTGTAATGGAAACAAAGTGTTAAGATTTGGTAGTCTGTAAAAGTAAAGTGTTCCAGTTTTAATGTTATTTTGTACTAACTTACGCTGTTTACATGGACATAAATAAAGTGTTCCAGTTTTAATGTTATTTTGTACTAACTTAACGCTACTTACATGGACATAAATAAAGTGTTCCAGTTTTAATGTTATTTTGTACTAACTTAACGCTACTTACATATAGATTATACAGCCATGAACAACTGTTTAAAGAAACATATTCTGAAATAAAGTGTTAAGATTTAGTAGTCTGTAATGGGAACAAAGTGTTAAGATTTGGTAGTCTGTAATGGGAACAAAGTGTTTTTTGTACTAACTTAACGCTATTTACATGGACATTAACATTAAAACTGGAACACTTTATTTATATTTACATGGACAAAAGTGT